AAAAGTTTAATGAGTATATAGAGCAAGAATAAAGCCAAGTATAAATGCCTAGAAATCCAGGAATGCAAGCAAACACCAAAAGAACTCAGTCATAAAAATAGAGAGTATACAGTGTACTTAACTGTTCTTATAGTTTATATTACTCTTCCATTAACAAAATAGGAAAATGTACACATTTTGTTAATACATACATATATAAAAATGGACACAGATATTAGTATGAAAAAGATCAACTTGCATTAAAACTTGGAAAACAATGTTAGTGTAAGCATTTACATTTTTAACTAGAAATTAAGACATTCTGACATCTATACATTATTAGAAACTAACTTACATAAATATACACATTATGTTCCCCTAATGTTCCTTCTAATATTTTGAAATCCAACTTAAAAATTAAAGAAATAAATACTCCAATTTTCTTACCATAAAATATTGTTTCACTTTCTCTTGCAAAAATTTAGGATTTTCCTTAAGGCACTGCCTAAATTTAGTCAACTGATTTCCCAACTGCAAGAGTTCCACAGGGTCTCCATCATGATTCCAGCAGGAAGCTACGTACTAGAACGAAAAACTTTAAATTATACATAGCATACCACCAACATTGTACTATCCCATAAACATTGTACTACTCCGTAAATGTAGAAGGCATGATATTTTACTGAAATCCTAGTTTCTATATTTAAAAAAAATATGGATGACTGTTTATAACAAAAAAATAAGTCTTTAGTTCATTGAAAAGGAAAAAAACTCATTTTAACCATGTTTTGTTCTAAAAAATTAAAAGCACAGGTTTAAATTACTTTTAGAAAATACAATTGTAACCAAGAATTTGCTAGATATCATATACATTTAAAGTTATATGTAAATTTATTCCACATTAAAACATAAAATATCAAGAAGCCAATTAAATAAGTTAGTAAAAAGATAAAAATTTACTATAAAACTAAATTAAATTTATATCTGATTTCAAAATAGCCTAACTTCCAAGGTTCAAATGAAAAACACTATAAGTATGAATCTGTTTTCAGTGCCATCAAGAACCACTAATCACACAAATAAATAAGCAAAACCAAACCAAACCAAAGCCAAAATCCAGATGGTTGAGAAATCATACCGATATCAGGGCACGTCCAAAACTGGTTGACTGATGCTTCATTTGAATTTCAATTTTATGAAGTAAAGCTTCTATTTGATCATCTTCAAATCCTTTCCTAAAGAAAGGAGATGGTGAAAAGAAAAAGTTCAAGCATTACAGGTAGCATCAACTACTAAAACATGTTTTGTTCCATATAGAGAAAGCTAAAATATGGAGAAGCCACAGTCCTTCCAGGAAGAGAACTCTTGAATGAAAGAAGAAAGAAAATCATTACAAAAGACCACACTTACTCAACTACTTCGTCAAACGTGCTATCCACAAGGTCCCTGACCTTCTGAATATCTTTCTCTGCAATCCCTTGGAGGCCCAGGCTGAAATACGCCTCCTTTGTGTTTCCGTTATATCTAGAAAACAGAAACAGGAAGTGTGTTAGAACCCACATACTCTCATCATTACGTCGCAACACACTTTAAAAATGAGAACTAAGAACTTTCATCTGCAGGTTGTAGTAAAGAAAGCTCACGAAAGCCATGTTCTCAGATACTCACTTCTAAGATAACAATTGGCCAAAAGTATATTTATGTCTTTTCAAATACTTATAAAAATCAGTATAGAATTTTTGAACTATGGCAAAATCTAGAAATGGAGAACTGCTGAGTTTTAGAAAAACTTTTTAAGATTTCCAAGACTTCTTCATGATGTGACTTTTAAAACAGGCATCAGTATGATATTCTGAGAATTCAAAAATGCTATTTTTTTTCCACTTTGGCCAAAGGTCTCTGGATCCATAACCTAATTCAGAGGTCCCTGTTAGGAGGGGGGATGTCCTGAGCATGGCGGGACACTGAGTAGCATCCTTGGCCTCTACCCACTAAACACAAACAACATTCCCTCCAGTTACAACAACAAAAATGTCCCTGACAGTGTTAAGTGTTCCAGGGTGGGGCAGTACAAAATTGCCAATAATAAAACTTACCCAACATCAGGAGAAAAGTCTGTGCCAAGTCCAAATTCAATTAAAGCTTTGTAAAAGGGGGAATTGGGCCCAGCAACCAAGAGAGAAGACAGAAGACTTAATGTGAAGGCTTCAAATGTGTCAGTGATACTTTATGGGAAAAAAAAGGATGGGGGTAGGCAAAAAGGAAAACCTTTAGCAATTATGAACGTTTCTTAAGTCATTTAAAAAACACTACTAAAATAACAATTTTATGTCCAAACAAACTGAAGTTCTTCTAGAAATTCTTGTGTTTCACATTTGTTTTAAATCATTATATGAACAAAAGAGAAAATTTTTTTAATATATCAGGCTGCTTTTTTTTTTTTAACTCCAAACCCCATACTCTAAATGTATATTGAATGCTCATCACATGACAGTTTGCCAAGTACTTTCACATACATTATTTCAATTACAGGTACAACATCACAGCAACACAATAAACGACTGGTGAGAGGGCACAAAGAGTCCCCACTGTGCAGCTGCTATACTACATGGAGCCACAGGTGGGACTGAGCTGGTGTCCTCCCTGTCCTCAATACTCGAGGCACCAGTTCTCGCCTGGTCTCCACAGTCTTTAGAATTACAAAGTTTTGTACGTGGTATATTTTTCCATGCAAGATATCACAGTATTCTCACAATCAAAGAGACCTTTGACCATACAAATATAAACAATTGCTAGAAGTTCTAAGGAAGCTTTTCCTCTGGAGGATTACAGCTTTAAAATAGAAGGAAGTAAATCACTTTTCTGCTGGACAGCTAACAAAAACGGTTTTCCCATGAAATTAAACCACATAACCACTTTCAATGCTACAAAAATGTTCTTGACATTTTGTTCTCATTCTTAAAACCTGCTTGACTCTTGAATCCCAGCTGTATGTTGATTTATAATTGACTTTCAAATTCTCCTCCTAATGTTCTATGCTGGGTATTTTCCTGTTTTCAGCTAGTAAAATCTTTAGCAATGTATACTTACTCTGGCAAGAGGAAGCTAACGCTGACCATTGTTTAGAGGTGTCTGCAGCAAGTGAATGTGGGCCACATGTTATCTGGAATTCCCTCTGCAAAATGATGTGATGTATTGCGTTAGTGGGAAGAGAATCTGAATGGTGGTAACTTAAACAGGGTTATGTGTTGATATATAAAATGCTCCAAGACAAGCTTTTCACTAAGTTTCTTTCTAAACAAATAACAATTCCCTAGTCTTAAAAAGCTCTTATGCATATTGTAATGACCACTGCATTTTAGAATACAACTATTAGTACACAGTTCATCCTCATTTCAATGTATTTAATAGGTAAGATAAAACAGTAATAAAAACTAGATGAGGCACTTACTGGCTTATCCCAGTGCTTCTGAGCTGGCACTGCAGTATTTGGTTCAATTTTCTGAAATTTACTCAGTGCTTCTTCATGAATTTGTCTCAGATGCTGTTCTAATTGAAAATTACCATAAGTGAAGAACCTAAAATTTTGAAGGAATATGTTGGTCTGTTTTAGTTTAAATGATTAGAAATCAACAGTGATGTACAGAATAGAAGACAAGGAGACAAATCCACATAAATACAGTTATCTCATACTAGACAAAGGCGCCAAAAACATACATTGGCAAAAAAATGGCCTCTTCAATAAATGGTGCTGGGAAAACTGGATATCTATATGTAGCAAAAATGAAATTAAACCACTATCTCACCATGCACAAAACTCAACTGAAGAGTGGACCAAAGTCCTAGGAATTAGAACACAGACCCTGCACCTAGTAGAAGAAAAAGTAGGCCCAAACCTTCATCATGTTGGATTAGGTTCTGACTTCCTTAACACACTCCTAAAATATACAAAATAATATCAAGAATCAACAAATGGGATGGATTCAAACTAAAAAAGCTTCTTCTCAGCAAAGAAAATAATCAATAATATGAAGAGAGAGCCCACAGAGTTGGAGAGCATCTTTACTACATGCACATCAGATAGATGCACATCCCAGATATAAAAAGAACTAAAAAATCTTAACACCAAAAAAATAATAAATGGGCTAAGGAATTGAACAAACACTTCTCAGAAGAAGATATACTATCAATCACCAAATATATGAAAAAATGTTCAACTTCTCTAGTAACTAGAGAAATGCAAATCAACACTACTCTAAGATTTCATCTCATTTCAGTCAGAATGGCAATTATCAAGAATACAAACAATAATAAGTATGGTAAGGATGTGGGGAAAAAGGTACACTCATACATTGCTGGTGGCACTGCAAATTGGTGCAACCACTCTGGAAAGCAGTATGGAGATTCCTTAGGAAACCTGGAATAGAACCACCATTTGACCCAGCTATCCCACTCCTCGGTCTACACCCAAAGGCCTTAAAATCAGCACACTATAGTGAAAAAGCCACATCAATGTTCATAGCACCTCAATTCACAATAGCTAAACTGTGGAACCAACCTGCCCTTCAATAGATGAATGGATAAAGAAAACTGTAGTATATATACACAATGGAATATTATTCAGCAATAAAAGAGAATAAAATTATGGCACTTGCAGATAAATAGATGGAGCTGGAGAATATCATGCTAAGTGAAGTAAGCCAATCCCCCAAAACCCAAGTTGAATGTTCTCTATAATAAGTGGATGCTGATCCATGGTGGGTAGGGGGGGGTATGGAGGAACTTTGGGGAGGGTAGGGAAGGAAGGGGCATGGGAGCAGGAAAGATAGTGGAATGAGATGAACATCATTACCCCAGGTACATGTATGACTGCACATATTGTGTGACTCTAACATTGTGTGTGATAGTAGGAGCAAATATGATTCCATTTTGTTTTATGACTTCATCCTGTAAAACAACCATGCCAAGTAGAAGAGTCATGACTGGAGCAAGATGTTCTTTTCCTTTTGCTATAGAAACCTTTAAGAACACGGAACTACCTAATGGGGTATTGTTTCTGTAACTAGGGTAACGGGTTCTGTTTCTGTAACTGGGGTGACTGGGATAACTGTGATTGGTTAGGCTTCCCTCCACTTGATTGCACTGTCCTGCTTCTGTAACCTGGCTTGCTTGCATTGGCTGGACCCCCCTGAACATCCCTTTTGCGGTTTTCAGGCTTATAAGGAGTGCCTTTGCAATTGTTCGGGGCTGATCAGGGGGACAGCTTTATGTTCTGGTCAGCCACCACAGGTGTGCTTCAATAAAGGCTTGATTCGATTATATGTGAGTGGTCTGGAAGTCAGTTTATGAAACCCTGGGACAAAGCTTTAACTATAACAGTGTATGACCAGAGAAATGAAAAGTTGTGCTCCATTTGTGTACAATGAATCAAAATGCATTCTGCTGTCATGTAAAACTAATTAGAATAAAAAAATAATCGGCAGTGATTTTTTTTTGCATGAAACAGAGAATACGCAGTATTATAGCAACTAACAACCCTCTCCATGTTTAAGTAAACTTTGCAACCAATATATATTGTTTTGCTTAGTTTAAATGCAAACACTGATAGACTCTTTTGTCTTTTTAATAAGATAGGTGGCTCAAACAAAACACAAACCATAAGAGGGCTTTATTAAATGCAAATGCAGCAAAAAATATTTTTTGTATTAAAACTAGTATAAAGAAATTACAAAAACCAAATGAGTTATTTGTTAAATATTTTACCACCCTAGCTACAGTACTACAATAATTGATCTAATATTGATAAAAAACAAGTAATTTCATAAAATTCAATTTTAAGCTGCAAATTTCGGATTATAGATATAAACCAGAGAAGTCTTATAATCCCAGAGTTGATTGTTTTCTTTACTATAAAGCTGTCTGAGCTACAGTTAAGATTTGGGGATTAGCCTAAAGATTCCTTAAAAACTTTTATGCTCAAGCGTTTAGAAATAAATTGTACAGACAAGGACTTGGATAATCCACTAGCAATCAACATCCCTAGAGACACTTATCTCTCAATACCTTTTGCCATTCAGTCACAGAATCCAGTGGATAAAGGACTAGCAGAAGATTCAGAGCACAAGCGCCTGGATGTGCATGGGGATGCTCAATGAAAGCTAAGAAAGTGTTAGAAATAAACTACCAAGGCTCACAGCTGGGACATTCTGAACATGAAAATATATAGGTTTCATCTGATCATACAATCTCAAAAAAAAAAAAAAAAATATATATATATATATATATATATATATATATATTTAAATACTTTCATAAGATCATAGTGTTATTTAAAAAACAGAGCAAAATGAAGATGGCTGAAGGGCAGGAAAGACAGGAAATAAGCCTCTTTCAACATGCGACCATCTGTCCCACTAAAGTTGGAAAAAAAGCAGTTCTCATCCCACCAGACCATATTTCAGGGTAACGCAAGAGTCCCAACTGATAAGGAAGAGCTCTTCTTTGTGTAAGTCCAGCTAATAGACATAGAAGTAATTACAAAATGGAAAGACTCAGCAAACTTTAATAAAGTAGTTGATTAATGAAATAGTTATCAATAAGGTGAAAAGGAACTGCGGTAATTTTCATGGAGTATCAGAACCTCCACCTGCCAGATGGCCTGTGATTGTGTGGAGAGAAGCAAACTCTCACCACATAGAGGCTGGGTGTCACCCTCCTACAGGCTGACTTCAGCAGGCCTGTGGAGCATCAACAGGCATCAGAGTGTCTGACTGGAATGCAGCAAATGACATGAGCATCAGCCTGAAAGATTCCCTGTACAAAGGCTTCACCTGCCTCTAACCAAGTCCTGAAATCCAAGTTTCAGTTCTTGAAAAGTCAACAAACACCACGAAGAAGCAGTGGAACAACTCAGAAAGTAGAAAAAGTCTAGAGGAAGCTGGGCCTGATCTCCCATCGTCCTCCTTGAGAAGGTAACCAGGACATGCTGAATAACAAAATGCCATATGTGGGCCTCATTTGGACTGAAAACACATTTTGGGGGATATGGAGAGTTTGAATAAGTGTAAAAATGTTATGCAAGAAAACATTCTTATGTTTTTGGGTCACAAACTATTTAGAGGTGGACAATTGTGATGTCTATAATTTAATTTAAAAAACTTAAAAATTATCTGTATAATAAGTGTATGGGGATTCTACTTTTACATATACTTGAAACTTTCCAAAACTAAATTTTATTTTATTTTTTTTACAGAACAACCTTGTTAAGTATGATTTTACGCTAATATTTATTTGTAAATAGAATTGTTAGTGATATATTAAGCCAGCAACAATTACTACATCTTCCCCTTTAATGTGCCAAGGGAAAGCTTCAGCTTTTCAGGTACTGTGAAAATTAGCCCTACAAAGTGGATGCCATCACAAGCATTCCCATTTTACAAGTAATGAAGCTGTTACAGAGGCCAAAGAGAAGCACTGGAACTCTCCATCAAGGTGAGTTCAAAGGCTGCTTGGAATGACCATGTTGTGTGCCAATGACCATTATCACCACACATGTTCAGAATGAACATCAAAATAAGTTAGGCAGGAAACTTAAACAAATCATCTTCCCAAGCCTCACCTACTTCTTAAGCGAACATTTCTTTGCTAAATGTGAGGGAAGCCATGTCATTCAGTGTAAGAAGACAAACGAATCAATTCTTAATTTACCATTAATCCTTTAAAACACCATGTTAAAGAGTGCTAAAAACAAGTATGTGAGTTGAAAATGATATTCAGAGATACCAAGGGCTCAAGAACAGTCATCTGCTTGAAAAAAAGCCCTCCAAAATAAATAAATAAATAAATAAGTTGAAATCATGAGGCTTCTGTTGGTTTAAAAAATACATAAAATAAACAAAACTATGAAAAATGAATAAAAAATAAAACAAAATATTACCTGGCATTACTTGGGTGGTAGTGAGTAGCATGAAACTGTTTAAGCTGCTCCCATGTGAGCTCTGGGATGCACAGTGGATCACCTCCGGAGATCACTGAGTAAGTGTGGTCAGGAAGAATTTTGTTCTGAAGGTGCTGGGAGAATATCCTCTTATTATCTGTCTTGAAATTTTAAAAAAAAATAATAATTCATATGCAAAATACAGTCATGCACTGCATAACCACATTTCTGTCAATGATGAATCACAAGTGCAATGGTGTCCCATAATATTTCAATATGGCCTAGATGAGTAGTAGGATGTGCCATCTGGGTTTGTGGGCACATACTTCGACATTCACAAAACAACAAAATCATTTACTAATACTTTTCTCAGCACTAAGTGATATATGACTATAAAACACACTATTATGTTACAATGCAGCAAATTAATCATACTCTGGACCATATCCCTATATCACATGGCAAATAAAACTGTTCTAAAGGTAATCAATGATATCCGTGCAGTTATGATTTAATGTTACATTTAATTTACTCATTATCTGTGTACTGGATCCAACAACTGGCTCTCTGGGAAGAGAAGAGCAATTGGCTTTTCAATATGCTCTGGGGGAAAGACTGAACCACTAAAATCAAGACAATGGCTGTGTAGGATCCTTCCGTCCACTAGCCATAAGGACCTGAGGACGAGAAGGTGTCTTGGAAGACATGACACCAAGTGGGGCATGAAAGGATACATTAGCCAGATGAAAGAGGCCACAAGAACCAAGAAGTGACATGGAACACACAAGCCACACCATGCCCTACAGAGACTAGGACAGACAAGGCTTGTCTTCCAAGCCAAGAGGACACACGATGATGCCTGGCCCTTCAACCAAGGGTCATTTCTGGTCACAGCGCTGACCCAGCTAATACAATGTTATTATTTAAAATGAGAATGTGAGACAACTAAATGTTAACTACCTTCAAGCAGTTCTATATTTCAAAATGTTATACAGGTAAAATGATTTTAACTCAATAGATAAAAGAAAAAATACTTACAAATGCTCCCTTCATTTCATTAAAGACAACGCCTTTGAAGATCAAAGGCGTCTGGGGATCACTTGGATCCTCATGTTCTAGTCTCCATCCTTCCTGCCTAAATCATAAATAAATAAATAAAATGAATAAATGAAAGAATAAATAAATAAAATAGTGATTCTAATACTAAAATCTAAGTTAACCATCAGTTAATCTGTACATACCAGAAATCTAGTTCCCGCAAGCATGGAAAAAAGGTTGCATCCAAATATACTGAGAGGAGATTCTGAAAATCCTTGTGATTTTGTGTGGAAAACGGATACTGAGTAAAATCACTAGCTGGGTACAAATAAAAAGTAAGATTTTATTTTTTTAACTTTTTTTCTTTCATGTTAATTTCCTCATTTTTATTGGTGCATCATAGCCGTACATATTGATGGGATTTATTGTTACATATTCATACATGTGCACAACATAACAATAACATTTGGCCAATGAAAAGTAAGATTTTAAAATACAAGAAATTTCTGCAGAAGTTGTTTTCAAGCCTCACCTCACCATAACAGTGAGTGTGAATTGTCAGAGGAACAGAAGCCAGAAAACCCAAGCTCTGCATCCACGCTTCACTTCCACCCTTGGCTGTCACCCCAACTTGCTGAGACCTACCAGATTCAAGGTTTTCCCTTAATAGACATGAGCACTAATTTTCAGTAGATTTTTATGTAGTTCAAATTCCTTTAGAGAGATTTTCATATTCCTGGAAAGGCAGTGTTAATTCTGCATAGGCACTGCTTTAATTTACACTTTAATCTCACTCCTTCCTAGAATACTTGGGCACACCAGCCTATTCACATTCTTGACACTAACCATAATGCTATAGGAACCAAATATAGCCATATTCCCTGAAAAAAAAAACTACTCTGAACTTTTTCAGAAAATGCTCAGATATCTTTCTTCTAAAACTCCAGTTTTTATGATCTAACCATGATGTGGCTACCCTAAAGGAATAAATTTCTAACATCTTCCCACTAGATTAGAGATCAGTGATTTATTCTATGGCCAACAACTGTCTTTACTCATAGACACTTACTGAATGTCAGTGTTTGCATCTGGCAAACCCAATAGTGATTATGGTTCAGGATTAGTCTTACCTGTGAAGGCGTTCATGAAAGTGGATAATGACCTGTTCAACATTTTGAAGAAAGGATCTCTACATGGATATTTCTGAGAGCCACACAGGACTGTATGCTCGAGAACATGTGGAACACCAGTACTATCCATTGGGGTAGTACGAAATTGCACACTAAGGAAAAAAAGGATAAACAAATCAGGAAAGGTTAAGCTTAATACTGTCCAATAGAAATCCTAAACATGGGATCACCTCCAATTATTAAAAAGAATTATTCTAACATCACAGTCTTTCAGCATTATCATTTCTGATAATGTTGAAATCACTGAGTCAGACTGTAAGATTTTAACGTATTTCTGAAATAAGGATAGAAATTCATGTAATCTTTTCCTTATGTTTTCAGGTCTTTCTGTCTATAAAAGTAAAATATCCATGTGATATCATTTTAAATTACTTAATGTACAGTAGATGCTTTAAAGAGAAAGAATATGTTGGTACAGTGCATCACACACCTGAACACATTATTTGTGTCTTCTCTTGCCAGGTGCAAATATCTGGCTCCTGTGTTGTCATGGCTGAGCTTCACTGCAGTTAGAAAGAGTTCAGGAATAGATGTTACCTGAGGTAAGAAGAGGCAATATGAGTGGAAAACATGGGAGAAATGGTTATCTTCAACACATGGACCGAATAGGCTGCTCTGTTTTAAATTAGACAGTGCCAGGAAGCCAGCACTTGAAAGCTAGACGCACAGACCATCTTGTCCAAATCCCTGATCCTGCAAACAAGAAAATTAAGACCTGAAGAAAGGCTGATGTTTCTGTTTCTGTTTTCCTTAAGCACTTACCTTTTTAAGTTAAGCATTTGCTTAAGCATTTTCTAAACATGTCATATGTAACCTGTGAAGGAGATTTTTCTCATCCCCTTTTGTAGATGAAAAAGTCACAGCTCAGAGTGATGAAAAAGCGGCCCAGGCCACATAGCCAGGATTCCCTGGTGTCTCTGCTCTTCCCCATTATTCTATGTCACATCTAAATAGCAGTGGCTCAATCTCCGCATGTTTACTGTGCATCTCTGGCTTTTGCACATATGTGCTATTTAATGCTAAATACTGTCCTACAGGGAAGGTAAATGTAGAAATGGCCCTGAGCGTGTGAAAGTAGGATTCTCCTAGAAATAAACTTTCCTTTTTCTAGTTTAGGATGAGTTCTCTGAGGTAAGCAGGGGTTATTACCAGCTGCTGATCCCTCCTGGGAGGATGATTATGCACATAAGCAGGACCTTTAACCAGGACCTTTAACCAGGACCTCCTGATAAGAACCAGGAGGGTATAAATGCCCTCAATGAAAATGAATGAAACTTTACTCCACAGGGAAGGGGGATAGCAAAAGAGCGGGCAATCATATCTTACTTTAGGTAAGCCTCCACATACATCTCCAGAGTTCTTAATCTTAAAGACAGTATCCTATCTTTCAACTATGCCAGCCCTCTTTCCTTTAATCAAACGCCATATTGTTATGGTAGACACACCACTTACCATCTCCTTTTTTCAATGCCCATCAAAGTTACCTGTCCATTATTAAAAAGGATGTTACTGACAGAACTGCAATCAGAACTGGAATCTGATGAGGAGCCCTGTCACATACATGACACACATAAACTAGTCTGCTGATTCCTGCATAATTTACAGATAAGTTACTACTTATGTTCTCAAGTTTATTATACTTTAACATAGGTGATTAATATACTCAAAATCTGTAGACATGGTGAGTTATCCTAATAACAGCTTTCAGGGTAACTATTTCTCAAATAGGAATTGTGGTTTATCGTAAAGTAAGTTATTTTTTTTTAATTTAAAAATAAAGGACTCTACCATTCTGAATAAGATCTTTTTAAATGGTAACTTGTACTATAAATCCAAACTTCTTTGTATGGCCTTCAAGGGACTTAATGCACTGACCCTGTTTTCATGACTTATCGTTCCTAGACATGCCTGGAATTCCCCTGTGTCACTGGCCTGCCCAGAGTCAGAGGCTTTCTTTCTTAAATATCACCCTCATCATAAGCTTTTCCCTCTCCTGCCATCAGCTTTCCTTCTCCCCTGGCCCATAGCACCTCTGCACACTGCTCATCAAGCCATGCCTTATCTTACAAGCTTTTTTTCTTTTTATTTTATAACGCAGCACAAAGCCAACCACCAAATATTTAAATATATACTTTTCAACTTACATTAAATAAAAAAGAAATCAATACAAAAGGTTTAAACAACAAACAAAAACCAAAAATCAAAAAAATCCATTTTAAGATACACTGAGTAAATACTGGTCTACAATCTCTTCTCCAAAATTTTGAGACCCAGATGGCTCAGAAAACAAGTTTAAATGCAAGTTTAGAGGAATCTATTTGATGCAAAAACCTGACTGGACAGATATAGGAAACTAAGTTTTAATTGATCACACTGCAAGAGAAGCACCAGATTTGGCTACAGGAACATTAGTGTTTGATTAAGAAACTACTAAGAATGTCACTTCCTAAAATCTGAAAAGGTGTCAGGCTTGAAGGGACACAAGTAAGGAACTGGGACCATTTCATTTGCACAGTTGGTCTTCAGGGTCTGGGAACACAAGAATAAGATCTTCAGTCTTGGCTCTGAAGAATCTCAAATGCCAGCAGAAGTTGTGTACATGACCTGCCTCACTTTAGAAAGAGCAAATGAACATGGACTGTACCTGGTTTACGGTGAAGCCGAGGATCTTTTCTCCCACCTTATACTGCAGCGCTCTCTCACAAGCTGGGTTACTCATCCCCCTCCATACTCTGTGCTGTGTACTGCTGCATTGAAACATCATCAAAGTCAGGAAAACAACTTAGGAAAATTGTTTGGTTAACATAATTCAGCAGTATGTTGAAAATACTGCTGTGATAAAGATGATTAACTAAAGAGAAATTACATTTCACATCTCCAAAATCTTGAACATGTCAGTAAATTAATTTCTAGTACAGTTCTTTACATTGTAACCTTATATCTCAATTCAGATAAATTTCATAATATCAATTATCAATGAAATGTTGAAAACTTTATTTTTACATGTTAACAAATAACTACAATATACAAGTTTTCATTAATTGAATACAAACAATTCTTATGTTGAAATGGTTTCTTTCCATGACAGAATTCTCAGAGGCCTTCATAGTAAAGTAATAACTCAATAATACTTCAGAGTAAAGTAATAACTACAATAAAATCCCATAACTTATTTACCAAGTTGGTGAAAATTTAAAAGTTAATATTACCATGAACCCTCATACACTGAGACTAGGGGTGTAAACTGGAATGATTTTGGAAAACCTTGTGGTGTCACTGTATTTAGAAAAGTTGGAGTTCAGCAAGTCCTTCACCTCTTTCTATAGCCTTGAAAACTTGTGCTTAAACACAACACACACACACACACACAGAATGGTGGCACTAATCCTAACAATCCCAATCTCAACCAACTCAGACGTCCATCAACAGAGAATGGATAAAAGCTGTGGATAATTCATTCAATAAAATATAGCATTAAAAATAAAAAGATGTGGGTCACATAATGTTAAACAAAAAAAATTACAAGATTAAAAAAACAATTTTATTCTAAGCAGGTATTATTCAAACAGGTAACACTATTGTAGGAATGTATTCAGCTGGGAAAAATATAAAGAAGAAGCAAGGAAGTAATTATAATTCAGGAGAATTATTACCTGGAAAGGAAGTAGAGGGTTATAATCAGGGTAAAATCAAGCCTAGTAATGGTGACACAACTTTTTTTTTAATAATTACTCTCTCAAACATGTTTTATAAGATATTTATTTATATTAACACAATATTCAGAGATATTTGTTTTAAAGGTTATATACACAGGAAAAGGAAATCACTAGTCATTGGCAATATTAGGGAGATACAATAAAATGAACCCACATTTCCTTATTAATTTAGTAAATTTTAGATTATGAGTTATAGAAGAATTTTAATAAATTGTTTCTTACCAAAAGCACAATATGTATGAAAACCCGGAGAGACCAAACTAAGGTTGTTCCCCCTTTATACTTTCTGGTAACCTACTACATACATTGTAATCTATTACCTACAAGAATCAAGTTCCTGTTGCCAAATTTAAACAGTCCATAGAGGCCTCCCAATCATTGATACCCCCATGTTTCCCTAAACGGGCCAAAAAGTACCTAGACTGCACCATAAATTAAATTAGATTTTGTGGATTAGTGTGAAAGTTAAACACTTTTTAAATCATCTTTATTTTTCTGTAAATCGAGTCATTAAAAAAAAAAAAAAGTTCAATTCCAGGCTACAATTTTATATAGCAGCTTAAAGTATAGCTTGTGGAACCCTCAGGCCTTTAAAGTACTCTGCCTCATAACAAAAATTAAATGGGAGTGAATCTATTAATGAGAACTATAAACTGCCAGTTACTTTTTTCACACATGTTAAGATCTACATCAATGACCAACTCCACTTCAAAAAGTCCTGACAACCCACACATAGGGCCACCCACCCTGGGATCACCTGAGGTCAGGAAAGGGAAGGTGGGTCAGATGATTTCCTGGGCCTGGTTCCCCCTTAGACCATAGACTTCCCGGATACATCACCCCAGCCCTGGTAGCTGGGACAGAAACTCCTGGGAGGAAACGCTCTGCCATTCCCAGAAGCTAAAAAGATTTCTTGGCAGTCCCCTAGGGGCACTCCCTCTGGACTTGGGGTATCTGGGTTTGGGACCCTACAGGAGGCGTTTCGGAGTTCAGGAACTCTAGACAAGAAGTTTCGGGTGCAGGTGCCTGCAGAACCAGAAGCTGTCACCCCAGGTTCTGGGATGGCAGAGAATCTGACGCCTCCCGCGCACGCGCCACCGCCCGTTCCCTGGTCCCAGGGTCCCCGCCGCCCCGCAAGTTTCCTCCCCAGTCTCAGCGTCCCCACCGCCCCAAGGGTCTCACCAGCCCCTGCAGTGCTTCTTGCACCCGCCAACCGCCGCAGCGCCACATGGCGTGTGACTAGCTGCGGGACAGCGGATACACTGCTCTTAACCCGACGCACGGCGCAGTGGGGCGTGACTGCCGCAACTCTCATTGGTCGGCGCTTACGGCAACGTACTCTCCGATAGGCTAAGGAGGAAAAGGGCGGGTCCCCTGCTGCGGGGCCAGCCTTAAGGGCGGGGCGCGGGGCAGGTCCTAGAGGGGGCTGAGCCGGTGCCCATCCCGAGTGGGGGCGTGGTTGAGGACGTGGCTATAACCGATGCTGGGCGGGGCTCCGACGAGGCGGGGCGCAGGGTAGCTAGGTGCGGTGAGGGACTCGGAGCAAGCCGGTGAGGGGCTCCGCGGCTTGGTGGCCTGGCGGCCTGCTGGCTGGGACTCGCGGTCGCTTCCCACCCGACTAGGCTGAGACTGGTGAGCCTGCTTTCTGCGTGCTCGCTCGCCCTCTAGCAGGGGTAGGGTGAGAGTAAAGGATGCTCCGCCGGGCCCTGGGCAGGTCCTTAACCTGCGGGACTGCGTGGCTTGCGGACGTGGCCCACGGGCTGCCCTGGCCGGTTCCCAGGGCCACGACGCCACAGTGTTAGGCAGGATTTCCCCAGCACTCCGCTGGACGGTCGGAGCTCCCGCGCGCTCTGTGGCCCATGGCTTCCCACCTCCTTCTCTGCATTTCGTGTGTAGGAAGATTGCACCTCTGTGTTCTAAGATTCCCGAAGTACCCACGGGCCCTTCTTGGAAACAGAGCGGGGTGAGCCCTGCCGCTGTGGGTTGGCAGGGACATTTGGAATTAACGACACCTGGGACGTGCTTAAATGGAACTTGGAAAACATCTACGGACTAGACTGACCTCAGGGTCTCAAGAGACTTTGTCTCTTCCCTGCATTCTTCTCTCCTCTCCCTGAGCCCACTAATGCAGACTCCAAATCTTCCTCTACCTTCCTTTTGGCGGTAATGTAGAGGGTAATACAGTGAGGAAAAGCCACAAAATGTCTATAGTGCAGGGGATTCTGCAGTTAACCAAGTACTTTCTTACTGATGAACTCGAATGAACCATAACGAAGGTGATACATGATCTGTTCTAGGGAGTACTTGAGTCATCACAACATCTCTATGATCTTGGGGGAGATAGTTGGGTATTATTAACCCTATTGTGAGTGTATAGAAAACTGAGGCACTTGGGGGGGGGGGGTGTTATAGTATTTTTCTCACTCTCTAGAATAGATGCTATATAAATCCAGTAATTACCACCTGCTAGTATGTTCCCATAGGACACGACCTCACTGATGGATAATCTAGATACATGTACACAACAAGAATTTATAAATAGTTATCTTGAGTAATACCTGACCTAATTTTAAGACTTAAATGAAATCTAAATAAATATTAATATAAGTAATTACAATGTAGAAGTAAAAATTATGTATGCAATTTTCTATGTTACAAAAACAGATCCTATGGTATAGTGAAAATCATTGCTTTAGTAAGATTATTGAGTAAGCTTTTTTAATAGAATAGACTGTGCCCTGTCAAAATCTTAGAAGGGTAATCAAGTGAATATTGAGTGTTAGGTATATATAATTGTGTCTCTCCAAACATGCCAGTACTTCAAAATGTTACTACATTTGGAGATAGGGCTTGTATGGAGGTCATCAAGCTAAAGTGAGGTCTTTGGGGGTGGATGTCACTCCAGTATGATTGGTGTTCTTAGAAAATGGAGAAATTTGGATGCAGAGACAGGCATACACAAGGAAAACACAATGTGAATATAAAAACAAAAATCAGGATGATGTTTCTGCAAGACAAGGAATGCGAAGAACTGACAGCAAATCATTAAAAACCAGGAGAAGGGTCTGGAACGGAGTTTCCATCAAGGTCTCAGAAGGAACCAATTCTTCCAGCACCTTGATCTTGCACTTCTAGCTTCCAGAACTATGAAATAATGGGTTTCTGTTGTTGTAAGTCAAGCAGTTTATGGTACTTTGTTAGAGCAGCCTTAGCAAACTAGTACAGAGAAGTCCAGAGGTATTTAATCTCTGAAAAATAATATGAAATGATATAACCAAGTCTGGTATTTTTCATTATTGCATGTCATTGATGTAAGGTATGCTTTAGGAAATACTTAATTTCTGAATCACAAACCCAAAGTGATGATTGTTGCAAATCCAAAATAAAGAATAAGCTCAGTGCCTTCAAATTTAGGGTTATTGAAATGTACAGAATACCCACAAACTTAGTACAGATCACACAATATAAGGAGAAAGCTCCTTACTACCAGAAAAACCTACACACCTTCATTCATCCATTCATCTTTTTATCACTCAACAGATATTATCAAATGTCACTAATTGCCAACTTTGTTACTGGTAAGTTTACATAAAATATTTCTTCTTTCTGTTGAACTTGTAAAAAATGGGCTTACTGTAAAAGGAGAGGAGACCAGATTTTCTTGAATTCTCTTTTCAACTATAAAATTCTTTTTTTTGAATACTAAGAATCTAACCCAGCATGCTTTACTACTGAGCTCAAATATCCTCAACATTTTAATTTTTTTGTTTTGAGACAGGGTCTCACTAAGTTGCGAAGAGTCTCACTAAATGGCTGAGAGTAGCTTCAAATTTGCTATTTTCTTGTTTTAGCTGCCCAAGTTGCTGGGATTATAGGCAAACACCAATGCAGCCAGCTCTACTCTAAAATTCTATAGATTTTTTATCCCAGGTCTTACTGAAGCATTGATGATAGAATTGGCTTTAGCCTTCAGTTTTATTTTCTGCCTGTTTAAAATGATCCATTAAGAAAATAAAATTAATTTGGCTGTTTTGATTTTCTTTCTGATTCAAATTATGGTCCCTCATATCTTCCTTTGATGGAGATCATCTCTTCTCCTGAATTAATTTAAATTTAGTGTTGAAAATACTTGTTTAAGAAAACTTAATTTTGAATTTCCTCTTGGCTAATTCCCTTGATAATTTAAAAAATTTTACAAATTTATATGAAAAAATGCCAGGATTATTCATAAACAGAAAGTTCAGTAACCATGTGATATTTATTCTTTTATCTAGCAGATGTAACAGTTTGATAAAACTTAAGGGTAGTGAGGTTTGTGGAGGTATGAGAGGTGGTGGAACCTTAAGAGATGGGGCCTCTGGGAGGCAAATTGGGTCATTGAGGTCCCTGCCCTTGGAAGGGATTCATGCTGATGTCATGGAGTGAGTTCTTATGAGAGCAGAATTGCTATTAAAAAGCAAGACTGGTCCTTCCCACTCTCTGGTTTCCTGTCTAACCCTGTGACCCTTTCTGAATATGTCAGTTTTCCTTTCTGCCCCTCTCCATGTCATGATATAACCAGGGAGACTCTCACCAATGGGAAGAATAGACGAAGCTGCTCAATCTTGAACTTTAAAAACGTGAGCTACACCAGTCTCTCTTTAAAGTGCTTAGCCAAGCTACGAGTATTTTGTTAGAGCAACAGAAAACAGACTAATAGATAAAGCTATAGTAAATAAGACAGGGTAGCATTGGCACAGAGATAGGCAAAGGGGCTGTGTTAGTCAGGTTTCTATCTCTGTGACAGAATACCTAGGGGGAAAAATACTTAAAGAAGGAAAGGTATATTTTGGCTTGCAGTTACAGAGATTTCAGTCCACAGATACCCAGCCCCTTTGCTGTGGGTTTGTGGTGAGGCAGAATATTATGGCAGCAGAGGTGAGCAGAGCAAAGCTGCTCATCTCATGGCAACCACGAAGCAGAAAGCAAGAATGAAGTGGCCAGGGACAAGAAATACCTGTTCCAGAGCATGGCCTCACTGACCTACTTCCTCCAACCAGACCCCACCTTCAGTTTCCACCACCTCCCAATAATTCGTTCAATTATAAACCCATCAGTTGATTACCCATTGGTGAGATCAGAGCCCTCATGGTTCCAATCACTTTATGAAAAGCCCCACGTCTGAATATTGCTGTATGGAGGACCCAACCTCAACACATGAGCCATGAGGGCCATTCCCAATCCAAATCATATAGAAGCTAAAGGCAGAATACAGAAGGCCAGAGTAGATCTAGTCCTACAAGGAGACACATTCATATGCACAGACAGGAAGAATGGCAGAGATAGCTTACTCAAGAACAGATTCAGTTCATGTTGCAGTTTGTATGGAAAAATTTTTTTTAAATCACCTTCCACCTAACCATAAGGCCATAGTGATATTATATTAAGGATTATACAATTTCACTGTTGTCACACATGCTTTGAATATACATGGTTTAAACGTTGTTTCTGATCCTTGCAATAGGAAAAAAATTTTTTTCAAGACATAAGTGACCTCTGAATAAGTCATTAGCTTGAATTCTCAACTCAAAGTAGAATATTCAGAATGCAGTTCAGACAGAAAGGACCTTCTGCTCACCTGTTCTTCTTGACATGTATTTACTGATGCTTCAAAACTTTAATGGGAAACAAAAGTTTTGTGTACTTCCTATTGCTGCTGTAACAAATTACCATAAAGCTAGCAGCTTAAAACAACACAAATTTATAATCTTATAAGTCAGAAGTCTAATTTGGAACTCACTGGTTTAAAGTCAAGTTAGAAGCAGGACTGTGCTCCCTTCTGGAACTCTAGGGGAGAATCCTTTCTCTCCCAAGAAGTCTTCAGCTGGGGGTCTCTTCCTCCAACTTCACAGGTAGCAGTGGTCAAGTCTTCCTCCTGATACTGTATCTTTGGATCTGATGTTCTGATCTCTCTCCCTCAGTTAAGGAACCTACAATTATAGTGGGTGCACACAAATAATATCAAGGTCATCTGCACAGCAACTTTAATTTCCACCTGCAATCTCAATTCCACCTTGCCACTTTTCATTACCTATTCATAGGTTCTAGGGAGTAGGATAAGGATATATTTGGGGGTCATTATTCTGCCTGCCACAAAGTTAAAACAAAACCTCCTTATGAAGTACAAGAACTTTAAAAATTATTTGGTTGTTTGTGAAACAAAATTAACATTTTATTAATCTGTTGTTATTTCAGACTACATTGGTCAGATTTGCATTTCTAAAATATGATAGTTGATTGATATCAATTCATTTTTTTTTTTGCATTTTTCCCCCAAGCTTCTTCCTTCAATTTTATTTAGTGTTCAGAATCATTATTTTGCAGGTGCAATGTGAAGAGTCTATTGCAACTTCTTGGTATCTTCAGCAAAACCTTCTACAATATTCTAACTTTTCATGAAATATGTATGAAGGAAGGATTTTGATATGCTAGACCTAGAAAGAAGGAAACAAATCTTGTAATTTAATTTTTAGACATCACTTTTTGGAGCTTTCAAACAAATACCTGTCTGTTCTAGAAAGAATGAATGGGTATGTACCAGAGGATGGAGGAAGGGAAACAATACCCATGATAGCATTTATACATCCTTTTATGCAATATTGTTTGTGGCAGTGAAATAAATATTCATTAGTGAAACGTCTTTTTAGTGAAAACAAGCCAGAGGTGAAAACATGTTTATAGAACATAAAGTTCAGTAAGAGAGAAACCTTTTTTTAAAATTTCTCAAATGATTCTTTTTTGATTCAGACAACATCATCATTAAGGAAGATTCACTTCAACACCCCTCTCAACACAGTAATCATTAAAATTACTTCATTATTGATAACATTGAAATGCTCTTTGAAGGAAAGAGTAAATGTCTTTTAGGTTAGGAGTCAAACAAATTTGTGCCAAAGAATGGGTCCCAGTGGGCAAGGATGTGGCTTTATTTTCTCTCCATAGGTAGTCTGAATAAGAAGGAGAAGAGTGGTCTTACTTGCAATTTCAGGGTTCTTAGAGAGACCTGAGTGAAGATACAAAAGTAGGAAGACCTAAATGCAAATATGAAGTCCAAATTCAAAGGGAATTTAATCTTGTAATGATGAGTGACACCATTCTTAGTTAATTCAATTGGATAAGATTTAAATGTTTGAAATTATTAGTGTCAAGAGAAGCTCCTCCTTTATACAGTTGATGGAAATATTAATTACTACAAATATTTTGGAGCGATAGATGACTGTATTAATCAGAAAGTAAAATAATACAT